CCGCGTCGAAGAACGCCGTGCGGCCGCTCTCGCGCGTCTTCCGCGCGCGCATGTCGAACCGTTCCAGAACCTCATCGCCCGCGCGAGGGTTCCGTCATCGTCGCCGGGGTGGTCGGCATCGGCGCCCGCGCTGGCCGCGCCATCGTCGGCGCGAGCATATCGGCACCAGCATGGCTGCTATCGTCATGGCGTCTGCCGTAGTCGGCGTTGCCATGATGCCGCGCCCGCCCAAGTCGCCCATTCGCAGTGAATTGACCGCTGGGATGCGCCCGGCGGTCAGCGCCACTTCGGCGGCGCCAAACTAGCTGGCCGATGCGCGCGCGTGCTAGGGTTGGCGCGGCCGCGGAGATGCGCCAGCCAACGCCAATTATGCGTCGCAATTGCCACCGCGTTGGTTTAGAAAACCAAATTGCGTGTGGGTGGGTGGGGCGCTTGCAAGAGCATGAGATGTGTCGGCTCGTGTTTTAATCAACTGCGCCGCGTAGATTGCATCGCGTAGGTTGCATTGCGTAGGATGCGCCGCGTAGATTCCCTCGTGTAACAAGAGAATAGACTTTGCCCCCGCCCCCCCGGATTATCGACCTCCTTTTTCGCGCTGCAATTTACATCTGGTTCTGCCCCATCGCCCATCCTGAGTATGAATTCGCACCATTCTAGGGGGGCCGGTATCCGCCCCCCCCGCCGTCCTGTTCAAAGCATACTATTTGCGCGCACTCGCTTACTCGTTTATCACAAACCATTAGTTTTCAAGAACCCCTTGCAATGAATGGGGTGACATGCGCGCGCGTTGTCTCGCGCGCGTGCCGAGATCCTTCAAACTTTTCGTCTTCGTACGGATTTCAAAATCGAATGTCCAAAACACATATAAAAACGCGCGGCTTCGCAACGCGGATCTTCAAACAAGCATGCGCGCGTTTTAGCGAATTCTTGGGATAATCGTAGGTTCTTCAACAGTTTCATAACATGCTACCAAACGGGCTTCGCGCGCGCGTGTCGAAATCGCTCGAACGCCCTTGCGCGCGTGCCGCCGCGAGAGTTTTTTTTTGCAGAAGTAGGACGAAGCGCGCGCGCGTCGTCGCGCGCACGCGCCGAAATCCGTCAAATACCTTCGGCTTCGTAGTGATGTCGAAACCGAGTGTCCAAACCACAGCAAAACAAATGGAATCGCAGCACCAGTTGAAAAAAACAGCGTGCGCTCGTGCTCTTGCGAATTCTGAAGGAAACCATCGGTTTCTCACGATTTTCATGGAATTCTGCCAAACGGGCCTCTGGCGCCGCATGCCCGCATCATTCGCGCACCCTTGCGCGCGTGCTGGCGGGGCACGATCCGTGTCAAAGAACAGCATGCGGGCCACTCGCGCGCGTCGGCCGCGCGCGCATGTCGAATTGTTTCGAAAACTTCCATCACCGACGCGAGGACGCCGTCATCGTCGTCGTGGTGATCAGCGTTGGCGTCCGCACTGGCCGCGCCGTCGTCGTTGTCAACATCGTCACCAGCATGGCTGCTATCGTCATCGTGTCTACCGTTGTCGACGCTGCCATGATACCGCGCCAGCCCAAGTCGCCGCCTCGCACAGAAGTGCCCGATGGGATGTGCCCAGTGGCCAGCGCCGCCGCGGCCGCGTCGGTCGCGCCAAACCAGCGGGCCGCTGCGCGCGCGTGCTGAAGTTGGCGCGGCCGCATAGATGGACTAACCAACGCCAAGCATGCATCGCATTTTCCACCGTTTGGGTTTTTCAAACCACATTGCGGGTGGGTGGGTGGGATGATTGCGCGAGCAGTGGAGGTGGTCGAGCGCGGTGCGGGTTAGTCAATTCAGCTTTGTAAAAGATTAATAGATTCTTCCCCCCTCCCACCCCCGGACTTATCGGTTCCCCCTGGGATAGGAACATTTCATTTATATTATGCACACCCGTCCATCCTAAATATGAAATCTTACCATCCCAGCCAAACCGGGTTCCCCCCCTGAGGTTCCTTTGTGAAAAACACTATGCGGTGACATTTTTTGCTCTCACATACGACTTTTTCGCGAATCCCTTGCAACAGAAAAAGGACGAAGTGCACACGCGCGCGTCGTCGCGCGCGCATGCCGAAATCCTTCAAAAACCATCGGTTCTGGAGAGATTTCAAAATTGAATTTCCAAACAGCATACAACAACACAAGGTTTCGCAACACTGATTTGCTAAAAAAACTTACCCGCGAACTCTTGCGAAATCTTAAGAAAACCACGGTTTTTCAATATTTTCACAACGTGCTACAAAACGGGCTTTGCGCGCGCATGTCGAAATCTGTCGAACGCCATTGCGCGTGTGCCGTCGCGACAATCCTCTGCAAAAAATGGGGCGAAGTGCGGACGCGCGCGAAGTCCCGCGCGTATGCCGAAATCCTTCAAAAACTTTCGGTATCGGAAGGATTCCAAAATCGTGTGTCCAAAAAACCTACAAAAACACAAGGTTTCGCAACACGGGTTTTCAACAAAAGCGTGTGCGCGCGCTCTTGCGTCGTCGTCGTCGTCGTCGTCCTCCCTCCTCCCTCGTCGTCGTCGTCGTCGTCGTCGTCGTCGTCGTCGTCGTCGCCGTCGTCGTCCTCTGTCTTTCCTCGTCGTCGTCGTCGTCGTCTTGGCGTCGTCGTCGCTTCCGTCGTCGTTGTCGCCGTGGTCGTCCTTCCTCCCTTGTCGTCTTCGTCGGCGTCTCGTCGTTATCCCTCCTATTTCGTCGCCATCGTCGTCGTCGTCGTCGTCGTCGTCGTGGTCTTCACTCCTCCCTCGTCGTTATCCTCCTCTCTCGTCGTCGTCGTCGTCGTCCGTCGTCGGCGTCTCGTCTTCGTCCCTCCTATTTCGTCGCCGTCGTCGTCGTCTTCGTCGTCGTTGTCGTCGTCGTCGTCTTCCCTCCTCCCTCGTCGTTGTCGTCGTCGGCGTCGCCGTCCTTCCTCCTTCTTCGTCGTTCGCGTCGTCGCCGTCTTCCCTCCTCCATCGTCGTTGTCGTCGTTGTCGCCGTCGTCGTTTTTTCTCCTCCCTCGTCGTCGTCTCCGTTGGCGACGTCGTCGTCGTCTTCGTCGTCGTCGTCGGCGTCGGCGTCGTCGTCGTCTTCGTCGACGTCGACGTCGGCGCCGTCGTCGTAGTCGGTGTCTGCGGCGCCGTCGTCGTCGTTGTCGCTGTCGTCGTCGGCGTCGGTGTCGTGGCCAAGTGCCATGTGGTACCTACCGTCACGGTCTTGTCTTAAGAAGTCTTGCGACCAAGTTGCGGGTGGGAGGGTGGGATGTTTGCACGAGCAGTAGAGAGGACAGCTTCAAGACGGTCAAAGTGAATTGCACCAAATAGATTTTCCTTTCTACAAGGAGAATAGACTCTACCCCCCCCGGACTTATCCGTTCGCCTTTCGGGTATGTAAATCATATATGATTCTGACCACTCGTCCATCCTAAATATGAAATCGTATCATCCCAGCCAGGCCGGGTCCCCCCCCCTGAGGTTCCCTTGTAAAAAAAACACTATGCGGTGACATTTTTGGTTCTAACATAACACTTTTTCGCGAATCCCTTGCAACAAATGGGACGAAGTGCACACGCGCGCGTCGTCGCGCGCGCATGCCGAAATCCTTCAAAAACCGTCGGTGCCGGAAGGATTTCGCAATCGAGTTTCCAAAAAACATACAAAAACAGGGTTTCGCAACACTGATTTGCTAAAAAAGCTTCCGCGCGAGCTCTTGCGAAATCTTAAGAAAACCGTAGGTTTTTCAAGATTTTCACAAAATGCTACCAAACGGGCTTCGCGGGCGCTCATGTCGAAATCTGTCAAACGCCCTTGCGCGTGTGCCGTCGCGAGAATCCTCTGCAAAAAATGGGACGACGCGCGCGTCGTCGCGGGCGTATGCCGAAAACCTTCAAAACTCATCGGTTTCGGAAGGATTTCAAGATCGTGCGTCCAAAAAACATACAAAAACTTAAGGTTTCGCAACACGGATTTTCAACAAAAGCGTGCGCGCGCGCGCGCTCTTGCGTCGTCGTCGTCGTCGTCGTCGTCGTCGTCGTCGCCGTCCTCCCTCCTCCCGCGTCGTCGTCGTCGTCGTCGCCTACGTCGTCCTCTGTCTTTTCTCGTGTTCGTCGTCGTCGTCCTCTTTGGCGTCGTGGTCGTTTCCGTCGTCGTTGTCGCCGTGGTCGTCCGTCCTCCTCCTCCCACGTCGTCGTCGTCGTCTGTCGTCGGCGTCTCGTCGTCGGTTCTATTTTGTCACCGTCGTCGTCGTCGTCGTCGTTGTCGTCTTCCCTCCTCCCTCGTCGTTGTCGTCGTCGGCGTCGCCGTCCTTCCTCTTTCGTCGTCGTTCGCGTCGTCGCCGTCCTCCCTCCTCCCTCGTCGTTGTCGTCGTTGTCGTCGTTGTCGCCGTCGTCGTCCTTCCTCCTCCCTCGTCGTCGCCTTCGTTGGCATCGTCGTCGTCGTCTTCGTCGTCGTCGGCGTCGGCATCGTTGTCGTCGTCGAAGTCGTCGGAGACGTCGTCGGTGTCGTCGTCGTCATTGTCGTCGATGTCGTCGTAGTCGGTCTGAAGAGGTTTTGCAAACCAAGTTGCGGGTGGGAGGGTGGGATGTTTGCGCGAGCAGTGGAGGGGACAGCTTCAAGTTGAGCAAGTGATTGATTGCACCAGCTAGATTGCACCGCGCATATTGCATCACGTAGTTTGCATCGCATACATTGCACCACATATTGCACCGCGTAGGCTGCAAGAGCCTTCTGTTTGGGGTCCACGTTGATTAACATATAACAGTATGGGCCCTCATGACAACTTGTAGAATCGACCGGCGGAGTGCGCGAGGCGGCCAGCGGAATGCGCGAGGCCGCTCTTATCATGCCTTTCCGCATGCTTCTCATGCATCCTCCATTTTACCTTCATCTCATCCTCTTCTTTCGAAATTTAAGCGGCGAGGGTCCGCAGGGGGCCCGCCGAACTGAGCCCGCAGAGCGGGCATCACGGAGGGGACCCTCGGGGGAGGGGGGGCCTCTGGGCCGCGCAGGAGCAAAAAGAGTGGGAGGACCAGGACGAGCAGGACCGCGAGCTCAGCGTCCTTCCGCAGAAGTTCGACTGCCTCCGCAGGCCCTGGGCACGGGTGCCCTCCTGCCTTGGCCTTCATTGGATCCTTCCTTGGCCTTCAGCTGTGTCCAGGCCTCCCACTCGGGGAGCGATGCGCGAAATCTGGTGTTTTAGACGACCCCTGTTGCTTGCTTGGGCCGCTGGCGACCGTCCTTTCCGGGCATGGCTGCGCTTTTCGCTCCGTTCTTGAGCCCCTGGGCCCCCGCCTGGGCATCGAGAGGGGTGCGTTCGAGGCCAACCTATGCCTCCCAGGAAATTCGGGGGAAACCTTCAGGGGCACCTTTGTCCAGACCCCGCAAATGGGGTCCGAGCAGGTGGGGTCGGATGATGTCGCCGCATCGCCGATGCATCGGCGATGTGGCTCGATGTGGACCCCGATCTTCTTCACACCGACGGCGCCGACACATCGCCGACGTCGCCAGTGCATCGCCGATGTATCGGCGATGCGGCGGCGATGCGGTGCGATCCGGCGACCCCGTCTACTTGGACCCCAGTTGGGAGGCCTCTAATAGAAGTCGACATTATCAGCAATCCTGGTAGGTGTGTAGGTATGTAGATCTATTTCCCAACCATCCTGTGGTGTTGGGTTCGTTCTCGTTTTGAAAAGACAGCGCCCCGCGTTCCTCTCCTCTCCTCCTCCCCCTCCTCCCTCCTCCCATTCCTCCCTCCCCTCCCTCCTCCATCACCATAATTTCGGCACACCCCTCACACGCTTCGTGGCCCCATATGAGTTCCGCCAAAGGTCCCAGTGGCACAGTTCGCATGCGCCCCAGCTACTCATTTCGGCACACCCCTCACACGCTTCGTGACCCCATGGGAGCTCCGCCGAAGGTCCCAGCGGCACAGTTCGCACGCGTCCCCGCCACTCATTTCGGCACACACCTCACACGTTTCGTGGCCCCCATAGGAGCTCCGCCGAAGGTCGCAATGACACATTTTGCATTCTTCCCCGCCACTCATTTCGGCACACCCCTCACACGTTTCGCGGCCCCATAGGAGCTCCGCCGAAGGTCGCAGTGGCACACTTCGCATGCGTCCGCGCCACTCATTTCGGCACACCCCTCACACGCTTCGTGGCCCATAGGAGCTCCGCCGAAGGTCGCAGTGTCACAGTTCGCACGGTCCCCGCCACTCATTTCGGCACACCCCTCACACGCTTCGTGGCCCCATAGGAGCTCCGCCGAAGGTCGCAGTGGCACAGTGTGCATGCGTCCCCGCCACTCATTTCGGCACACCCCTCACACGCTTCGTGGCCCATAGGAGCTCCGCCGAAGGTTCCAGTGGCACAGTTCGCATGCGTCCCCGCCACTCATTTCGGCACACCCCTCACACGTTTCGTTGCCCCATAGGAGCTCCGCCGAAGGTCGCAGTGGCACACTTCGCATGCGTCCGCGCCACTCATTTCGACACACCCCTCACACGCTTCGTGGCCCATAGGAGCTCCGCCGAAGGTCGCAGTGGCACAGTTCGCACGCGTCCCCGCCACTCATTTCGGCACACCCCTCACACGCTTCGTGGCCCCATAGGAGCTCCGCCGAAGGTCGCAGTGGCACAGTTTACATGCGTCCCCGCCACTCATTTCGGCACACCCCTTACACGTTTCGTGGCCCCATAGGAGCTCCGCCGAAGGTCGCAGTGGCGCAGCCCGCATGCGTCCGCGCCACTCATTTCGGCACACCCCTCACACGCTTCGTGGCCCATAGGAGTTTCGCCGAAGGTCCCAGTGGCAAAGTTCGCACGCGTCCCCGCCACTCATTTAGGCACACCCCTCACACGTTTCGTGGCCCCATAGGAGCTCCGCCGAAGGTCGCAGTGGCACAGTTCGCACGAGTCCCCGCCACTCATTTCGGCACACCCCTCACACGCTTCTTGGCCCCGTAGGGAGCTCCACCGAAGACGATATTCACAATTGCTTGACTCACAACTGCATATCATTGGGTCCTTCGTCAGTCTTTTTTTTGGGCGCGCTGGAGGATCAGGGTGGCCTCTCCTCGAGGATCGAGGATCGACATTTTGCTTTTCGCTCCCGTTGGACTTTGGAGGCGCCCACCACACTGGCGCCCTCACAGATCCGTCACAGATCCGTCGGCTCGAGCAGAGTGGAGACAGCTGGTTCTTCGCCACGTTGGCCATCTGGAGGCCGGTTTCGGGCGCCAGGACCTTCAGCGAACGACTCGGTTGGAGTTCTGGTTCCCTGCCGAGTGGATCGGCCCCGCCTAGCCTCCTCGCCCCCTCCCGCTGGCTCGGCTGCGCACCGGATTGCGTAGAGCAGTTGCTAGTTGACCGAGAAAGGAGTTTTTGCCCTCTCCTCCTCCTTCTCCTCCTCCGCCACATCCTCGTGCAAACCCTTTCCAAGGAGATTCGCTGGCTGACCGCAAAGCAACTTCCTGCCCTCTTCTCCTCCTCTTCCATATCCTTGTGGAGACCCTTGTCAAGAGAAGTCGCTGGCTGACCGAAGAGTTACTTTTGGTTCTCTGCTCCTCCTCCTCTTCCATATTCTCATGCAGACCCTTCTCAAGAGGAGTCGTTGGATGACTGAAGAGCAACTTCTTGTCCTCCTCCTCCTCCGCCATATCCTAATGCAGACCCTTCTCAAGGGGAGTCGCTGGCTGGCCGAAGGGCATTCTCTTATCATCTCTCGCTCCTCCGCCATATCCTTGGGCATACCCTTCTCAAGGGAAGTCGCTGGTTGACAGAAGTGCAACTTTGGTCTTCCTCCGGCCAGAGACCCGCTCCTCTCAGCACCTCCCCGCTGCCCAGGGTCCCGGCCTACAAGCAGCTCATCACAGAACGCTTCAAGAGGTGCCCCGAAGTTTCGCCGGGAGCACACGGGACGACGTGACGCGTACGATGCGATCGCGGTTGCGGCAAATCTGAAGGGAGGAAAAGGAAAAGGGGGGGAGGAAGGGGAGGAGGAGGAAGATGCGGGGAAAGATGTGGATGATGATGACGATGATGATGATGATGATGATGACGACGATGATGACGATGATGCTGATGATGAGGAGGAGGAGGAGGAAGAGGAGCATAATGATGAATGATGATGCTGATGATGATGCCGATGATGACGACGATGTGGATGATGATGATGATGCTGAGGATGATGATGGTGATGATGATGATAATGATGATGCTAATGATGATGATGAAGGCGAATCATATATGAACAAGGCAACTAATATGAAGCACATAGTAAGACTAGTCGGAAGAGTACTACCAATTATATTACTATAAACAATTCTATTATGAACATTATTGATGATACTAGCTATTTAAAAAATGCTACGACGTGACGAATAACACTAGTAATTATAACAGTGAAGACAAATATAAATAGTAATACAAATGGAAAGATGAGGATGCGGATTTGGGCGAGGGGGATGATCATACGCCCAGTTGCAACCACGTCGGGCTGTTCAGGAACTAACTGGCACTGATTGCAACCACTCGAATGGGTCGGATTGCAATCTGATTGAAACAGACAGTGATCCCCCCTCCACGCCGACCCCTTACGAGCCTCTGCGCAGCCTCTTACGAGCCTCTGCGCTGCGGGTTGCGAGCCTCGGGGGGGATTATGTCCTGAGTGCTTCCGGGAGGTTTCTGCGAGGCTTCTTAGCAGTTTCCGAGAGGTTTGTCCGTGGTCGCAAGGCTTCGTAGTGGTCTCCCGGAGGTTTTTGCGAGGCTTCTTCATGGCCTCTTCATTGGAAGTAGCGCGAATTCCTCTAGATGTTTGGTTACAGTGGCAATGCTTGGCTCGGGTTCACTACAGCTTCGAGAACCAGTGCGTGTTCAACGAGGATCCGCTGCAGCCGCGGGCCCGCACTCCGATGCTGGTCCTAGTGGCTCCCCAAGGACAGTGGCACGCGCCCGACTTCTGGGACCTTTCTGGCCACGTCTTCCAGTCGGCGCCTACGGGTTACATCCCTCTGAACAGCGCCAGCCTACTGCTAGTCCATCTGTCGCAATCCGCAGTTCGAGGTCATCCCGAACTGCGAAGACACGCCCTACGAGTTGCCCCCGCGAGAGCGCGCCGAAGCCACTGGTTGCGAGGACGCCTCCGAGGGGAGCATCGGCTACATGAAGGATCAGTTGGACACCGATCTGCGGAATGCGAATACGGTGGCCCACTCTATGGCCGTGCGCAGGCGCATCTCGAGCTGGGCAAGTTGGCATCGTCAGGATTAGAACCTCAGGGCGACATGGCCCGCTTTCGTGACCGGCAGCTTGGACATCACCGGCGACGCTGCCAACAGCTGTGAAGAAGCTAAATAGCCAGGGGCCTGATTTGCCATGCCTTCGGTGGAGGTCGAGCGTGCTGATGCCCCCAGTTGCCGCGCGCACGAATGTGATCCACCTGGCGATCAGTTGGCGCTTCCCACAACCAGCCTGGATTTTGCCTACAAGGAGCTCGTCGGTCTCATTATATGGGGCACGGTTGGCGATGCAGACAACAGCCAATAATAAGTCGATCCTCCAGTGGCTGGCCATGGCTCGCCCCCTGTGGAGGACGCTGCAGCATTCAAGCTTATGTAGTGGCCTCCCTTGCATTGATCGTATGCTCACAAGGAAGCGTATGCCTCGACGTCTTCCAATGTTCTGAGCGTGTCTACTAATAGAACAGCCCACAAATGGGGCCGAGTGGCCGCTTACGAGCTTGCTACGGCAGAGGGCACTCCCGCAGGCGATTTCGGCCTGACCTCTACAGCTACGTCGGCAGCGTGCTCCTTGTGCTGTCTGCCTCCAGGGCATTGCGCTCGTGCCTCGTTTTCCCCGCGCCTCTGAGTGTGCATCGGTGCCCAGACCTGTTTGTCCAGTTGGGGGCTTCTCCGGGTCCCTGCTCCTGCCTTGGCTGGGACTCCCCGTGCCAACCCGCTCCCGCGCTGCAGTTTGCAGCGTGACGTCGCACAGTCTAGTGTTTGTTGTTCAGTGCCCAAGCCTCTCTATCCAGTTAGCGGCCTCTGCAGGATTCTGCTCTTACCTTGGCGGGGACCCCCCCTGCCGACCCGCTCCCCCGTTCAGGCGTAGCGGGCATTCAGGCAACAAGCTGTTTGCTTTCTGTTGCGGGCCCTCTTTTGCTCACAGCTTAATGAGCTAAGCCCGACAACGCGTCCAAACCACCGTCTACCACCACCACGTGGTTCCTCCTTCCCTCCCTCCCTCCCTCCTTCCCTTCCTCCCTCCCTCCCTATCTCCATCCCCTTCCTCCTCCTCCTCTTCCTCCTCCTTATTCTCTTTTCTTGCCTGCCCAGGGGTGTGCGTGCGTCGTTGGCTGTGGCACGGCCCCTCGGACGTGGCCAACACGCTCACGAAGGCTCCTTCTCCTCCTCCTCCTCCGCCTCCTCCTCCTCCTCTCCCTCCTCCCCCTCCTCCCCTCCGCCTCCTCCTCCTCCTCCTCCTCCTCCTCCTCTCCTCCTCCTCCTCCTCCTCCTCCTCCTCCTCCTCCTCCTCCTCCCCTCCTCCCCCTCCCCCCTCCCCTCCCCCTCCTCCTCCTCCTCCTCCTCCTCTCTCATCCTCCTCCTCCTCCTCCTCCTCCTCCTCCTCCTCCTCCTCCTCCTTCCGCCTCCTCTCCTCCTCCCCCTCCTCCCCTCTCTCCTCCTCCCTCCTCCTCCTCCTCCCTCCCTCCTCCTCCTCCTCCTCCTCCTCCTCCTCCTCCTCCTCCTCCTCTTTCTCTTTCTCCTCCTCCTCCTCCTCCTCCTCCTCCTCCTCCTCCTCCTTGTCCTCCTGCGGTGCGCACACATGGGTGGCGCCAGGGGGGGGGTGGCATTCGAAGGAGGCGGGGCGCCTCTTAGAAGGCAGCAGGGCCCGGAGGCTTCCAAAGAGACTGGCAAGGCGCTGGGACGGCCGCAATGAACCCTCAGCCTCGCACTCCCCCCAGAGGAGTGGGGAGACACACAGATCCAGTCGAGACGTCGCGGCTCCCTGAGTGGCCGCCAGTTGCGCAACTGCCGCTGCTTTTGTGGGTTGCCGGGAGGTCCAGCGGCGCGGATGCACACGCGGACCCAGGCGAGGCCTCGCTGCTCCCTGGGTGCTGCCAGCTGCGCGCTTGTCGCCACCTTTCGTGCGCCCCTGGGCAGGCCAGCGGATTGGAGTAACGCGCGGACGAGACAGGACATCTCGGTTCCTTTCGGTGGCTTCCATTCGAGTAACTGTCGCCGCTTCAGGGGGCTCCCGGGAGGTCCAGCGACGTGGAGTTGAACGCAGACCAGGACGAGACCTCGCGGTTTCCTGGGGTGCCGGCAACTGCGCCACCGTCGCCTTTTTCCGAAGCTCCTGCGTGTTCTTGCGGAGTGAAGTTGCACGCAGACCCAGGCGAGATCTCGCCGTTCCCAGGGGGCCTGCCAACCACTGGGCTCCTGGGAGTTCCAGCGGGGCGGATGTGTACGTGGACCCAGACGATACTTCGCGGTTCCCCGAGGGGGGCTGCCAATTATGCAACCGTTGCTATTTGGGGAGTTCCAGCGGAGCGGCGGGACACGCGGACCCACACGACCTCGCCGCTCCCTGGGGGGCTGCCAAGTGCGCAGCCGTCGCCACTTTCCTGGGCTCCTGGGAGGCCCCTTTGGGCGGAGGGACGCTCGGACCCAGACGAGACCCCGCGTTTCCCTGGGGGGGGGGCTGCCGGTTGTGCACCCGTCGCCGCAGTCGTGTGCTCCTGGGGTTTCCAGCGGAGCGGAGGGGCACGCGGACCCAGACGAGACCTTGCGGCTCCCCTGGGGGGGGATACCAACTGCGCAGCGCCAATTTTGTGGGATCCTGTGGGCACGTACATCTGTGCACATGTGGGCGCATGTTTTGCCCAAGCGTCGTGCCAAAGGCTGGCGCATGGCTTCTGACTGACTGGGAGGCCCAGCGGAGCGGAGGGGCACGGGGATCCGTACGAGATCTCGCGGCTCCGTGGGTGTCCGCCAGCTGCGCAAGCGGTGCCACTTTCGTGAAGAGCTGACGTGGTTCGATGCTGTTGGGCCAAGCGTTCACGGGTGCCGCAGATCATTCGATGTATTTTTCCCTACCTAGGCTCTGCCTAGAGGGTTCTTACTTTGTTTGCTTAAAGGGCCGGGCAGTGTAAAACGCCCCTGGCGGTTCCCCCAGTTGCGCCCCCTGGGTTCACCCAGCTTAGCTTAGCTTAGCTTAACTTAGCTTAGCTTAACTTATATCATCATAGCTGAGCTTAACTTAGCTTAGCTTAGCTGAGCTTAGCTTAGCTTAGCTTTTAGCTTAGCTTAGCTTAGCTTATCTCATTTTAGCTTAATTAACTTAGCCTGTATCATATTAACTTAGCTAAGCTTAGCTTTGTCTAGCCTAGTTTAGCTTAGCTTTAACTCAGCTTTATCTTAGCTTTAGCTTAGCTTTATCTCAGCTTTAGTTTAGCTTTAGCTTAACTTTAGCTTAGCTTTAGCTTAGCTTTAACTTTATCTTTAGCTTTAGCTAATATTTGCTTAGCTTTAGCTTAGGTTTAGCTAAGCTTTGCTTAGCTTTAGCTTAGCTTTTGCCTAGCTTTAGCTTAGCTTTAGCTTAGCTTTACTGTTACTACTAATGCTGCTTTTCCAGGGGCTCCAACTCCTAGGTAGGGTCGCACTGGGATAATTTTGTTGTGCTGAGCGGTCTTGTGAATGATGATGTTTTTTTTTTTTCTCCAAGCTTTCTGCCTTTCGGCGTCTTCAGGGCTCCTAGAGCCAGGCAGCTATGGATGTCTGCTAAATCATGAGCATGCCAACGCATGGATGATACACAATCTGCTGGATTCGTATCCTGGACGTTGCTGGCACACCGCGCCCAACATGTTCCGACGAATTTGGGAAATT